AAATACACAAAGTAACTAAGAAAAGGTTCAATGTCTACTATAAATACATAAAAGTAATTTATCGATATTAAATAGTATAATTTTTTGTCTAAAGGAGTTCGGATAAACCTCATTGATCCCATCTGGCTCCGTTCCTGACGAGTGGAATAGACAAATTAAAGGTATATTATGAATTAAGATATTTCATGAAATTAGTTATCCCAGTATAAATATGAGATAACTTATTTCATCATTATAGTACAAATAGTAAGATGAATAATTTCGAAACTAACTAATACTTCTGACTAAACACATAATTAAGAAATAACTAGATATGCTATTTCAAAATTATTATCTTTTATCTCTCGTGCCAGAAGATACATAAAAGTACATGAGAATTTGAGTTGATTGATAGACCAAATTATTTCCATGGGGACTCACTTTAATTTTTCCATGCATAATATTTGACTTGACTATATATTATTGACTCCCGTAAAACACGAAACTTGCTTTATGTCTTTTTTTTCATTTTGTCATTTCAAAGACCAAGACTTTTGGGGGTGGGGGTGAATTCTCTATTTCTTTTGAATTTATTTATTATTATTGATAATGATTTGAACATTCAAAAGAATTGTTATATCCATATTCATATCATGAATAAACTGATGAATTATGAGGAAAAAAGATAATATTTAAGGTATAGACATTCAAGAGTGTAATAATTGCTTACTCCATCGGAGTAAAAATATCTATTTTTTATTATGTTATTAATTGTCCTTTTAAGTGTTTTTATACCTGATATATTTAAAACCAAAAAATTCAAAATAAAATAAAATATATAAATATACACATTTGTAGTTTAAAATCACAAAGAAAATAACTATCATACTTTCTTAGACAATTTTCACATCGGAAATGAAGAGAAAAGTATAAGTAATATATAAGAAAAATTATTGAATAATAGTTTAAACGATACCCTTAATTTTTATTTTGGGCTAAATATGAAAATACGTAACATGAGCTTGGATGATGACATTATATGTAAATTTGTCAATTCTTCTCATAGGTGTAAGTTGTAACATACATACATGGGCGAAGTTAGAGTATCATGAGAAAATAATGGTCTCATTCTATCATGTCTTTTAAGTATATTTATATTTTTGAGCTTTGAATATTTGTCTTTTATTTCATGCACATGGCCACATAGATTTGTGTTTTTCTCCATACATATAGTTCCCTACCTTAATGTCTTTGAATTGGTCTCTGACCACATAACTTCCTTGAACTTTGTTTTTGACGTAATATATACACGTGCCTTTTAACCTGGTTTCAATTGAAATTTATGTTTCTAATTTTGGAAGGGTTTTTTTTTTCCTTCTTCTTCTTTTAGTTCTTTGATATTAAGTTTGCCCAATTTCTTGGCGAGTATGTGTGTCACATGTACTTTATCTTACTAATATAATTATAATATAATATGGTTCAAGATTATCAATTAGTAGGTACATTTACAACTATATAATATACTATATACTATACACTCACTGGTGAATAAATGGTACTAGTAGTAGTTATTTTTGTTTCTGTTAAGATATTAGAAAAGGATAAAAATGTTGGGAAATTTCTTTTTGATTGATTGGATCTAAGTACAAAGGTTGATTTCGTGTGAGATCATGTTACTCAATCAAGACTTTTTACATACATGATTACATACTTTAAAATGAAAATTTGTCTATAATCTATAATACATATCAAATCTCCATCGCCTCCCTCGCCACTCTCCCATGTATATGGTATTCCAGATACATGCGAATCACACCAGATATATACAAATATATGTATCTAGTGTATATCTACTGTGATTCGCATGTATCTAGGATACATACGAATCTCGATCGTTTCTCTCCTCATTTTTGTGTATCTGGTAACAAAATACATGTATCTAAGTGTATTTTCCTCAATATATGATAGAAAACTCTTAAATAATGATAAGATGCGTAGTATTTTTAAAATATAAATAATAATCGTATATATAGTAGTGAAATATGTCTAATTATGTAGTTTTTCCTACTTTTTAAAGTGATAAGATTATAAGCTACCAATTTTGGATTTAAAAGATTATAGAAATATATTTCAAGGATATAAGTTTTTTCTTTAAAAATATGATAACCATCAAATCAAAGGAAAAACTACCTAACTACACATACATTACTACCATATATACTATATTTACCTCTAGTTTAAAATAATTACATATACTATCACTTTTAATATTTATACCATATATTTTAAAAGACATACACAAATTCCTTAAATATGGTATTGAATAATTATCTTAAATTTAAATTCCTTAATTAATGGTCCATTTAATAAGTTAAAATATTTTCCTACTACATTTGTTTTCTCCCTCACCCCACGTCCACTAGCCCTCTTTCTTCCCTATTTCTTCCTTCATCTTCTCCGTCTTTTTCCTTCATCCTCTCAATACATGTTTGCATGTTCAAATCAACATTATGCATAGAGGTTTGCTTATATATATATATATATATATATATTTTATCATTCTCATGTATCTTGATTTTGTATTTGAGTTAAAATTCATAATATTCTGAAGTTCAATTTTAAAAAGTTTTTCAAATTAGATTTTATATTTTATTTTTTTGTTATTTATCAAACACTTTAATAGCTGATTATTCCTTAAATCGGATGATTCTTATTAAAGATTCTACATTAAAGGCTTGAGAAGTCATTGGAGAAATTGGTATTAGAAAGAGAATATTGGATGATCAATATAATTTTTATTTTTGTATTATAACTACAAGACCCTATATTACACACAAAACACGAATAATTCCGTGAATGAAGTTGCAAATTATCGAAAGCTAAGATATGTCATTCAGTACAAGTTCTTGTACTCATCCAAATCAAGATAGAAGAATTACACCAAATTTTAATTAATCGAACAAATACACTATTAAGTACACAATAAGTGCAACAATGTTGGATACACATCACATGTACAATATGTATCTAGTCAAGAGTTTGTGTATCTGAGTTAGGATTATTCAGATGCTAAAAAAAAGAATTTTGAAATTTTTTATTTTTTTTTGGATTAATGATAAGACTGATCTACCGTTGTGATTTGTTCCTAAATTCGTGTTCAGTTGCATTTCATATTTAGATACACATAATTATATGTATATGCTTACTATGTATCCGAGATACATGTTTTGAATACAATGTATGACATTGATACTTGATACATCGAATTAATACTAGATACATATAAATGATTCATGAAATTAAAATTAGATCATATAAATAGATACATGAAATTAATATTAGATCATATAAATAGATACATGAAATTAATATTAGATCATATAAATAGATACATGAAATTAATATTAGATCATATAAATAGATACATGAAATAAATACTAGATACATATAACAAATACACGAAATTAATACTAGATACTTTTATGATACATATGAATGTGTTTGTATGATACTCATGTATCTAAGTGTTTAGATTGTTTGATACAA